ATTTTGTGATGGCCAACCTGTATCGGGTTTCTAAACTGATACTGATTTGTTTACGTACATTAACTGTGACCTTATCTTTACCTCTTCATTCTGGTGATATTCTTCCTGCAACCACATGTCTCTCCCTCAACCATCCATCTCATCATTGCTGTATAGTACTGAATGACACACATGAGTTTACACTTAACATTAATGACATTATACTGTAATATACTATGTTGGATACTGTGTGTATTGTGTTTTTACCTTGGTTTTTTATTTTTAGTGCAGTAACAAAAAGAAATTATATAAACTGTCATTATTTTATGATTACTTTCCTATTTCAGAACAATATGTGTCTGGGGAGGATGTGACTATGTTGGCATCCATGTGTAAGTTGAAAGCTGGTCGCTTGGCACGTGAGGTGACTGACTCGTGTCTTCAGATGTGGGGAGGAATGGGTTACACTAATGAGGTCTGTAGCATCATAATGGTACTTATTCTTCTTTTAACAAACCAGCCGTATCCCACCGAGGCAGGGTGGCCCAAAAAGAAAAACAAAAGTTTCTCTATTTAAATTTAGTAATTTATACAGGAGAAGGGGCTACTAGCCCCTTGCTCCCGGCATTTTAGTCGCCTCTTACAACACACACGGCTTACGAAGGAAGAATTCTGTTCCACTTCCCCATGGAGATAAGAGGAAATAAACAAGAACAAGAACTAGAAAGAAAATAGCAGAAAACCCAGAGGGGTGTGTGTGCATATATGCTTGTACATGTATGTGTAGTGTGACCTAAGTGTAAGTAGAAGTGGCAAGACATATCTGAAACCTTGCATGTTTATGAGACAGGAAAAAAGACACCAGCAATCCTACCATCATGTAAAACAATTACAGGCTTTCGTTTTACACTCACTTGGCAGGACAGTAGTACCTCCCTGGGCGGTTGCTGTCTACCAACCTACTACCTAGGCATAATGGTACTGTATATTATAAATTGTAATATGCCATATTTATATGAAGTATGTTTGATCTGCTAGGTTGTAAGTTGGTAGACAGCAACCTTCCAGGGAAGTACTACCGTCCTGATAAGTGAGTGTAAAATGGAAAGCTGTAATTGTTTTACACGATGGTGGGATTGCTGGTGTCTTTTTTCTGTCTCATGAAATGTAAGATTTCAGGTACGTCTTGCTACTTCTACTTACATTTAGGTCACACTACACTTGCGTGTACAAGTATAGTATATACACACCTCTCTGGGTTTTCTTTTATTTTCTTACTAGTTCTTATTCTTGTTTATTTTTTGTTATCTCCATGGGAAAATAGAACAGAATTTTTCCTCTGTAACCTATGCGTGTTGTAAGAGGCGACTAAAATGTTGGGAGCACTGGGCTAGTAACCCCTTCTCCTGTATACATTACTAAATTTAAAAAAAGAAACTTTTGTTTTTTCTTTTTTAGGTCACCCTGTCTCGGTGGGGTACGGCCGGTTTGTTAAAAAAAAAAAAATTTGATCTCTACCGTCATTACACGTCAACATCTTTAATATTAATAATGCAGGGAAGCATTAGCCCATAGAAGATAGCAGCATAATGTTGGAAGAAAAAGTTAGAGGTAGTATTTAAGATATTCAGTCAGACTTCTGACTTCATACTCAGCTGCATCTCATAGACATAAATTACCTGTCATCTGTAACATAGGCAAAATATTAATCGTTAATTGTAACAAACTGCTTCCACTCAGCCCTTATATTTTGGTAGTGGTCACTTGTAGCATTTGACATCAGAGCTTTAAGCATTTTCAGCAAGGTAAGTTTCTGTAGCTATGGGATCAGGTGATGCATTCTCGCAAGAAAACTCTATTACAAAGATTTTTATTTATTATTTTAACACATCGGCCTTCTCCCACTGAGGCAGAGTGATCCAAAAGAGAAAGAAATATTTTCACCATTATTGTGCTTCTTAAAAATCTCAAACAAGCCAGCAGTAAATTTACGCTATTGTGAAGGCTCTTCTTCCTTCTCACACATAGTTTCATGGTAAAATAAGGCTTTATGCTTTGTTACCTGAACACAAAAGAGATCTCTTTTTTTTGGTTTTCATGATCCAGTCAAACATTTCTGCCTTGCGTGATATGAAGGTTCTGACAAGCAGTGGGAAGATCAGAAAGCAGTAACTTTAGGATATGTTTAATGGAAGTTTTTTGGTTTTGGGATGAAAATGTTTTCAATAAATATGCCTTAAAGGGATTGCACATAGTGCCTTTCCACTACAGTGAACCCCCACCGTGACTTTCGTGAAATCCGAATTGCGGCAACTTTTTTTGGCAAAGTATAGCCTCGCAGTTCATGATTGGCCTCGTGATTTGGCGACCATCTGGTACGCGTCCTACCGGCATCCCACCGTCAGCACCCACACAGAGCCAGTCCCCCGCACCATTCACACTCAGTGTGCCATTGTTTATCAGCATGGACCATCACCCCACAGGTTCATACGATACATTTCATAATACAGTGGACCCTCGCCTAACGACATTAATCCGTTCCTGAGAGCTCATCATTAGACGAAATTATCGTTAGCCGAATTAATTTTCCTCATAAGAAATAATGGAAATCCAGGACCCACACGTTACTGAATTCACAAACACAATGAGTAACTGCATGTTGCTACCAACAGTAACAAAACCTACAAGAGTTACGGAGACTAGTGTTTCCCTACTTGACCACATCTGGACCAACACCATTTCCCCTTTAAAATAAAAAGGCTTTAATTTTTTAGTAATCAAACCATCGAAATTTTTTAAAAACTTTGGGTTTTAAATTTAAAAATTTTTTCCACTAAAAGTCCACCTTCGGGAATTTTTACAATGGGATTCTTTTAACAAAAAAAAATTTACAAAAACGTAACAAAATTTTGAGGGGAACAATTTTTAAAACTAAAAAAAATTATCAACCAAAAAATAACGAATGTTTTAATAATTTTCAAAAAAAAAACCCAAAACCCCCTCTATAACAACCCACTCCCCTAAAAAAACTAAACAGATGACAGCTATGAGACTGAAAAAGTCCCTGGCTAAAAAACCCAGATTCTAAAAATCCATAAATACAAAACACCGATATGAAAAACATACAAATGGGTTCACAAAACCAAAACCCAAAACCCAAAACGTTACTTCGTAAAATCCAAACCACCTGAAAGAAGGGCAAAAAAATTGTTTTAATGAAACAGATTATCCAACTTCCAGGTGAATAAAAAAAGACCTGGAAGACCCAAACAAAAAATTCTGGGAACAAAAAAAAAAACAGGGGAAATAGCGAAATAAAATTAGCAAAAATCAAGGGAACCCCAACCCCCCCCCCAAACCAAAACAGCAAACAAACCAATGATTTTTTTCTCCATTTATAGGACAAAACCATGCCAATAAAAACCCCAAGCTCAAAAACCCCCAAACCAAAAAGACTACCTCACTGGAAACTACCCGAACCACTTTTTCCAGCTCCGACTAACCCTTTAACGAAGTTCCCCTTATTATAAACCCACTAAAAACAAGGCGGGTAGTTTTAAATACCTTACCACCCTTTATATAAAAAAAAGTGTCACAAGTACTAAAACCAATCTTTGGGCAACACTCTTTAAAAAACCCAAAGGGAATCCTCCACCTTCCCTAAAATTCTCAAAATAGCAAGGGTCCCCCCCGATCCAAAAGGGAGACCAAACAGATTTAAAAAAAAAAAATAGGCCCAAAACCCAAATTTAAAAAACCCCCTCTCTCAAAAATTTTTCAAAAAATTTTTAATTCATAAACGAATCTACTCCTACCTCATCCCCCCCCCTACCCCCCCTGCAATTTTTTTTCCCGGCCTAATAAAAAACTAATAGCTTTTATCCCCCAGCAAAACTTTAAAAACCGGGAAAATTTAAAAAAAAAGAAGTCCCCCGGGGATCTCTTTGCCTTCCTAAACTTTTTGAAACATTGGGCCCAAAAATTGCTTCACAAAAAATTTGTCACACTAGGGTTATAAGAGGGCACTCCCCCCAACAAAACCTCAAGTAAACCCTCAGAAACCAGAAGCCAATAATGTACCAAAGGGGGCCCAAGCTCTTCCGCAAAACCAAATTTAAACAGTTGGTGTCCCACAGGGAAGGGGTCCTTGGCCCCCCTTTCTCTTTCCCCTAACAAAAATTGACCTACCAAATGCTTGAAATTTTAACTAAAACCCCACATTTTTTTTGGCAGTTTGAAAACAAAAAGTCTTCTCTCACCCGACCCCAAAAGTAAAACGCTACCCAAATCCCCGGTAAATACCGAATTAACAGAAAATACTACCCGGGAAATGGGAACTAAAAAACTTACACTAAACTTTGGGACAAAACCTATTTCTTTCATTTTTGGTAACAAGAGCTACAGATGAAACCTTTTAAATAACGATAACGGATCACCTTTTCACAAAGCTAACAAAAGGAAAATTCTTGGGAAATCCCCCTTAAAATTTTAAGACTAAAATTTCATACACATATACAAAAAAATTTTTAAGAAATTTCCCCAAGCCCTGTGGGCAACTTTTTTAAGATAGGTCTATGCTCCACATCAGCCCCCGGCCCCTTTTTCCAACTCTCTTATTTACCCCAAATTTTCACCTAGGAATTTGTGCATGGGGCCAACAAAAAATTTAACCATTTTTTCAGACCACTTTTTAAACCCAAAAAAAGGGCTGCATTTAAAAAATAAACAAATTTCATTTACAGGCAGCACACCCACCAAAATTAAAAAAACCTCAACCTACCACCATACAAAACATCCAATTACTTTTTAAATTGAAACCTATTACATACATAAAAATTTAAACTCTGATATTAACCCCCCCTAAAACATTTTCCTTGCCACCTCAACAAACACTTGACCATAAAAAAAGGCACAGTTTACCCCTTTGATGTTCCTCGTGTCCATCTCAGCTATGCAAAAATTTAAGGGCACAAAAAGGGCCCTAAAATCTAATTCATTACCTGTAAATTAAAAAAAAACACTACCTGTTTATAAAATTCAAGTCTTTTTCTCAAAGTTCACTTACTCACTAAAAACCCAAAATAAAAACTGAAAAAACTAAACCCTTTAAATAAATTGTAAAATCCTAAAGTTACTCACAATTATAAAAAAAACAAACCAAATGTTAAAAAACCTTTAGGCCCCCAAAAAAATTCCTAACCTTTGGGGGTTATTTTTTTTTAAAATTACACCAAAAACCTAAAAAAATTTTAATACTCCATTCTTCCCCCCGGGGGGGAATTTTTTCCAAAAAAAGGGGGGCACCCAAACCAAATTAAGCCCCCCTTCCCCCCTTTGGTAAAAAACTAAAAATTTGTTGCTTTTAATTTTTTAATTCCTTTTTCAATTTTTAAAAATTTTTATCACTAAATTTCATCATTGCTTATTAATCTTAAGTTAATTTTAAAGCCGGGCCCAAATGCAATGCATAAAAAG